ATAACAAGTATATCTTAAAATGTTTGCAATAATGAAGCATTTCAGTACAATGTAGACAAAAACGAAAAATAAAAAGAAAGTTACGGATCAGGACTCTCCGATCCGTACTGCGCATGTGCAGATGTTTTCTTCTTCTTCTGTTCGTTTAATGGCAGTTTACTCCCCAGTGTACGAGGATACCGCCACCTGCTGACCGAGCGAATAAACCCTATTATAAACTGAATTGGCATCATTACAAACGTGTGTTAAATTTGATTTAGTGATAGTCGAGTGTGTTTATGCTTGTCTGTGAGGAGAGGATTGTTGGAATAGTGATGATGATGTGCGCTATCACTGTCAGTTGTCAGTAAACACTTCATCTGGCTGATGAATCTACACGTGAGATATTACAAAGTCTGCATTATTAACTCTGTAATTAGGCGCCATTCTTCTTATTTTACGGCGCTGTTGCTCAATCGGGGGACGCTCTCTGTTGAGGAGAAAAGCATGAATTTCTTTGTATACGGATTATTCATTGTTTAAATGTCCCGGGCAGTCGAAAAGGAGGCAGAGCTGTTGAGAAATGCTAGGAGCTAACTGGGCGCTAACCGTATCAGTCAAATATATTGAATGTCGCAATGTTGGCAAAGAGAGGAAGTGACGTAAGATTTGCGCATGCGGGTACTGATCGGGTTTCCGGTACGGATCGGGTAGTGACACTGGGCCGCGCTATGAATTCTGGGACAGAGCTGCTTCTTCTTCTTCTTCGTATTACACTGTAGTTTTTAATTTTATTGTTATTGTTAAGCACTTTGTGCAGCATCGGCTGTTGAAAATGTGCTATATAAATAAATCTGACCTTGACCTTCGGGGTTTAACGGCAGCTGGCATCCTTGTACATGCAGTGCTGCCATCTTCTGTTTCAGTCCGTTATTACACTCTTAAATCCTGCTACTTGTTCCTGCGTCTTTTGTGATCTTACAAAGCTTCAAACGACGCGTCGACTATTAAATCAGTCGTCGACGTAATCGTGACTAGTCGACTAATCGTGGCAGCCCTACTGCCATGTCGCCCATATTAGCTAATACCTGGGCTTTTATTTTTATTTCATTTTTATTTGAGACTCCCTTTCTCATTACATGATCTGTTTCAGACAAGCATACTAAAATGGTGAAACTTGTCCAAGATTTACAAAATCACATAAAAAAATTCCCAGTGACAGATTCATAAAGTCGTTTATAGATCTTTTAAACTCTGCAAGCGATGCCATCTGAGAGAGCTGCGCTGTAATGTGGTCCATGATGACAGGGCAGGAAATGAGGAGGCCTTTTTTCCAAGCTCTGCACGAACTGATGGAACAGTGAATCGAATGGAAAACCAGAAAATGATTTATAGATATACCAATCAGCCAAAGAATGTTGATGTGTTAAAGGTTTACAGCCAGTTAGGTATCTTAATGCCTCATGATAAACTGAGAGTGAGCAGGAGGGCTGATGAACGATACCTTAAACCCGGAGGATGGCAGCAGGAGAGAAATCATCTGTTTGTGAAAAAGTACCCCAACTTCAGCCTCAGTTTCTTTAACAGGTGGTCAGTATGTAAATGGTAAATGGCCTGTATTTATATAGCGCTTTTACTAGTCCCTAAGGACCCCAAAGCGCTTTACATATCCAGTCATCCATCCACCCATTCACGCACACATTCACACACTGGTGATGGCAGCTACATTGTAGCCACAGCCACCCTGGGGCGCACTGACGCCCCAGGGTGACGTCACATACTTTAAAGTATGTGACTTAAAAGATTGTCATTGGTCACAGTATTTAAGTATTTGCAGAAGCCCACAGGTTTAATAGAAGTACTCTTAGTACTGTCTTTCTATTGTTTAGAGCAGGGGTGTCAAACTCAAACACACAGTGGGCCAAAATTCAAACTGGAACAAAGTCGCGGGCTAACGTTAATATTTATTGAAAAACAAAATCTTCCTCCAGATATGAGAATGAATCTTTTCTTATGGACTCAAACAAGTTTAGCTGAAAAACTGAATATGGAACAAGCAAAGCTTAATACTAAACAATATATATATTAGCTGTATGATACCAGCAGGCCAGCTCTAATAGCCATTTGGTTTGGCTTCGCGGGCCAAATGTAATTAGGCTGCAGGCCACCAGAGTTTGACACCTATGGTTTAGAGCAACATGACCGTGTTTTTTTCTACATTTAAAATGCAGCAGTGAGATGAAACAGCTGTGACTGCACACTACCCAAAGCTAAATGTGACTGTGCAAAAACCACATTGATGGTATTAATGCAAAAGTAATATTGTACGCCTGAGATAGAAACCTCTGTTAGTGACATTATGGTGCTCTATAAACTCCATAAGACAAAACTGAAACCCACAAACCCCTCAGTCCCATTTTTCTTATTTTATACGGGATATTAATAACACAATAATCTATAATCATATTAATGAATGCTAGTGAAAACAGTAGTTTATTATATAACATATTAAAATGAGTGTGATATTTAGATTTGGCCATTAGTGGTTTTAACACTGATTATGACAATTACACAATTGAGTTTTCACCATGAAGTCAAAGTGAGATTTTTTCCGTGCCATATTATTCAAATATATTTTTACCTTTTTTTGTTGAAGACCGCCTAATTGGCTTGCCAGAGGGTCGAGCCAGGAACCACAACCGGCCCCAACAGGTACCAGGTCTCTCAGGGATCCACATCCAGGATGTCGCTGTAGGAGCTGAACACACTCTGGTACTCTCCTCCACAGGAGATGTTTACACCTGGGGCAGCAACTCGGAGGGACAGGTAACATGCATACAGTGCTTGTGGGAACATACGTGTCAAAGTCTCAATAAGACTGTTTGCTGCTTTTCTTATTTGAAGTAAATGGATTTACTGAAAATGTAGCCTTGTCATCTATCTTCTATTACACACATAGAGAGCCTTGTGGCACACAGTAGCTAAGATAAAAGGACGAGGACTCAGAAGCAGCCAAAGAAAAGTATCATTCAGACAGATATGATGTGAACCACTCCAAAGCAGAACCAGATACACCACCCCAATGTTTCAGCCTGTCAAGGAAAGTATGGTGGTGGACGGTATCAAACGTAGCGTTTCACATCAGAATATTCTCCAGCGTCACTTTGCATTAAAATGACACTGGACACTCAAAGAACAGAATGAGCCCCAGATTGAAATGTCTCCAGCACACTGTCTTTGTTTAAGACTGGTGTAATCTGCTTAGTCATAGCCTTTTCTAAACTCTTAGTAAATGATCATTTTGAGATTGGTCTGTAAATGCTAAGAAAAAGAATGAGTTGCCCCCAATGAGCAGGGACTCTCTCAGTGTTTCAAAGCTCCTAAGAGAAGTCTTTGGCCCATCCTTGGCCTCTGCACTGACTGGTAGATCAGTTGAATTCAGTTTTATTTATATACCAAATCACAACACAGTCGCCTCAAGGTGCTTTATATAGTGAGGTAAAGACCCTACAATAATCCAAACACAGAAAACCTCAACAAAACTCTACAAGCAAGTGCTTTAGTGAGAGGGGGAAGGAAAAACTCGCTTTTAACAGGACGACACCTTCAGCAGAACCAGGCTGGTAAATGGACTAGTTCTTATATAACGCTTTATAGAACTTGAACTTTTTCTAGTGTCTTGGAGAGCATTGGAATTAGTATCTTGCCCACAGATATTTGGCATACAGCGGCCAGGGATCAAACGCAGCAGATGACCTGAGCTACAGCCACCCCTTCAGTTGTAGCAGCGATTAGCTGCTCTGCTTCGCACAGGACCCAGAATCAGGTCATCTGCAAGATATTTAGCACGAGGTTCTCCACAAATCTGAGTGTGCAACTGGTGAGGGGCGTCTGTCGTCCAGCAGTCACAAAACGCTCAGCCAGCTGTCTTAGACTAACAAAAGATCCAGAGTGCTACGGTATCACTGAGTCTAAGCAGAATTCCTGCTGTGCGTCTCATACTGTGCAGGATTGCTACTGCAACAACACATCATCAGCAGGGTAATACTAACATTGCATTGTTTGCATTCCTGGCAGTCAGGTTTGATTTATTTTCAGAATTGATCTTGAGCTGTTATACAATGTTAAATGTTGACTTATGACTGTGTTGTGCAGCTGGGTCTGGGACACACCAACCATGTTAGAGAACCTACACTGGTAACAACGCTGCAGGCCAAGAACATCCATCAGATCTCTGCTGGACGCTGTCATAGTGCAGCGTGGACGGCTCCCTCTGTGCCGCCTCGAGCACCAGGTTACACAGACACACAAAATTCACATAATGCCTCCTGATATTTTGATACTTTCTCCCAGATATCAGATTTCCTGCTGTGCTGCTGGAACGTACAAAATACCAGAGCGTAATGGTTTTATTTTTATGTATTGTGCTTAGAAACCTGCCTTATAAACCACATCACATAGAAAATATGTCAAAGGGATTAGAGACAGAGCTTTGGATGGCTGCCACAACAAACAATAATTAGCATAACTGTGACAGCAGAAAATCTCTTTAATGTAACTTTTGTCATGAATGAGTCGACTTTTCTTCCCACACTTCTCAGTGTTCAGGGTGATCATATCTCACTCTAATCTTCCTCAGGCTCATCTGTACCTCTTCAGCTTGGCCTGCCAGCAGCAGTGCCTCCTCAGTACAGTGGGCTTAAAGAAGTGAGCATCGAGGCAGTAAGGGCCCGTTTGCGGCTCCTCTACCACTTCTCTGACCTCATGTACTCGTCATGGAGACTACTCAACCTCAGCCCTAACAACCAGGTGGGCAACGACTACAATAAATGTATTTTATCTACTACAGAAACAGCTTCTGGAAAAATACTGTTAGTTTAGTGCCTCTAACACATTGACTGTAACAAGCTGAAAACAGAATGAGAAGAAGAAAATGGCTAAACTTAGATTTGTCTTTCCTTTGGTTTGCATCTCCAGCCTCAGTGACTGAAGGCACAGTCCAGGCTCTGAACACCTTCACTCTCATAACTGAAAGGCTGTAAAGGTGATTGAGTTCAGGCATAAACCCAGAAAAGGTGCATGTTGTACACACTTTTCGGTGTTTATTATGAAGCTCGGATTGCATCTTAAAATCTGACATTTGTGTTGTCACTTCCTGTGTTGACTGCACTAGAAGGAGCCAGTCACCTAAATATACAGCTAAATTAACACCCCCCTGTCTCAGTCACGCTTTGTGACTTCCTCAGCACACTGTAGAAACACTGTGTGTCAGACACAAGCCAAAAGTCAGCACTCTGTCCTGGAGGCAGTTGGTGAAATTGACCTCTCAGTAGGTTGGTGGCCCCTTGTCCAGAGTCCTCCGATGGAAATGGTTGCGTCGTGGTCAATTGCAGAGAAGAATGAGGGCAGTAAGTCTTCAACCTGGAGGCAAAAAGGTCTACTTTTACCTCGACAAACAGATCCCACAACTGGCCACTAGTAAAGGGTGTAATATTCATTCCCCCCTCTGGGGTTCCTGCCTGGAGAGAAAGTCCAGCCCCAGCATGTGTGGCTCTCGGAGACAGAAAATGAACACTAAATCATGAAAGCAGAGACTGAGATAGGTTTAACAGTCAAGGGGTACGTGCCCCTGTCTGGGCGTTGTGTAACAGACCACTGTTGAACTGGACAAAGAAAGTTGAGAGCTTGAAACACGGCAGGGAGCTCTCACTGATTGGTGTGCAGCCTGTGCTGCACTGAAATTCAGACTCTCTGATGAGGGTGAGAAACGTGGGATTACCTGTTGTGGTCACCTGAACATCTGACAAGTCCGAACTAGGAATTACAACCTGAAACAGCAAAAATATATTTTTGTGCGCAGGGGGGTTTGTGACTTAAGGAGTGCCTCTTGGGCAGCACCAGATAGGGGAACTGGCATCTCCCTGCAGTTCTTAACTCAATCCCATAGCTAGGAGGACTGAGACGTCTTTCTCCTGGGCGTTGGGGCCCAAAGGTGGACCTTAGCTCCACGCTGACTGGCGTGGAAGTTACCCCAGAGGCTGGGCTCTTGCTGGTGGTACACCCACATTAGCAGCAGTCGGTCTGCTCTCGGCGGTGGGAAGAGGAACAGCTAGCCTGCGAGACCAAACTGCGAACTTGGAATTTGTGTCATGTCTGGGAATGATATCACGCAAAGCTGCCGTCTGCTTCTTCCTCAGTTCAGATTCAAATGACCTGACAACAGATACTGGTTCATCCAAGTAGATAGCACTGTCCCTATCTGAGGTCAGATGTGCTACTATTATTGAAGCCATCTCTCTGTTAGGGAGCACACCACAAAGGGCACGGAGGATGTATTCCATTTTTTACTTGGTTCTTATTAAGGTAGAAGTAGTTGTCTGGGGAAAACAATGGACCCAAGTTGCACCGGGTACATCGCCTGGTGCGACTGTATCACAGTGACTGAGCTCATGGCATGGGCGCCCGGCTGAGAATTATAAATCTTGTCGGGCTGAGATGCAGAGCATGTACAGTGCTTGGATGGAAGAGATGCGGGATCAGCTACACCATATATGTGGAATGGGGATGCCTCCAGAAATGTAAACGGTAAATTTACCAGCTACAGCCATTCCGTAGGAGGCGGGTTGGCTAAGCCAGCCTTCTTTGTGCTGTCCAGCTCTAAATACTGTCCATAACTGGGGATTCCCTAACCCAAGACGGTGGCTTGACACATGTGAAGTGGTTAGCTCGGAGACAAAGTCTGGGAATACTGGAAGGCAGTTGTACTCTGTTGTCAGCTTCGCTGGAAGGAAAAACTCCACAAACTGCCAGAGATTTGTAGATGGCCTTTCCACTCTGAGCTTCTCCACTGTGTGATGAAACGTGGAAAAAACAGAGATGTTGTTTTGGCCTGCAAGTGGAGCAGCGACGGCACACTGAGCCGACAACAGGCTCTGCTGTTCATCCATGAGAATGTCGATGAATGCCCAAGCTGATGTCCAGCACGTCATCATGTTGGTGAGCGTCCGCTGAGGCTAGCCAGTGGTCCCGCGTGGTTCATCCTCAGTCAGTCCAGATATTTGCAGAGACATCGACCAGATACTCCTCATCTTCAGATTTGGAAAAGCTGGAACCCTAGCGAGGGTATTGCAATGCAACAGCCGTTCTAGCACTTTCTCCGTCTTTCCAGGGTCGAGCCCTGGAGCTGGCAACAACATACACAGGCTTACTTTTCCCGGCGTGGTAAGTCCACAGTCAGACAGGGCAACCTCATGCTGGTCATGCAAACAGCACCCATTAGGACGGGAGAAACAGAAGATTTCTGCTTTGCTTGCTTTGGTTTGGTACTCATGCCAAAATGCAAAGCAACAGTGCTGCACAAGGACACTTGAAATTTCCACTCTGTGGGAAGCCCACACACCAACTGAACAGTGGAGGCTAACACCAACGAGGCAGTTAAACTGACTTCATGCCAGCAGACAGCAGCACTAACTATCAGTAGCTAGCCCAACTCGGCATCCCCTCAGTTTTTACGCTCAGGTGAAGTGTGAGAACTGCAGGATCAATGTGATCACAGAAGTCTATATGTGTCATCACAGGGCACGAATAGAGGTGCCTTAAGCCACAACATGCAGGGGCGTGATATCCCAAACTATATGTGTTGTATGGACTGAAAGGGGACTACTATGTTACATCTTAATTGGAAAGATTTTTTCTTCCCTATAGTTTAGACGTTGCACAAATGTAGGGAAAAGATTTGGGGCTCCTCTTAATTAGTAAATACTAAATGTCATTTTAATTCTGCAGAGCTGTACCTCCCATTACAACGCCGGTACCTGGGGAATCGTCCAGGGCCAGTTAAGGCCCCTTTTGGCTCCCAGAGTGTATACGCTGCCTATGGTGCGGTCGATAGGCAAGACCATGGTGCAGGGCAAGAACTACGGTCCCCAGATCACTGTCAAACGCATCTCCACACGGTCAGTACTGGTAACTGTTTTTAGCCTGCAGTCAGAGGTTTCCATACACTCACCACTGGTATGAAGGTTTTAATGGTTGTTTTAAACTGTTCCAGGGTGGAATTGTTGTACTGCATAAAAAAATAGATGCATAACTACTTCATCAGCTACTGATGTTATAAATATAATTTTGTGCTTAAAGGTAAACTTAAAATCCCCTTCTTCCTTTTCACTTTGGTTTTCCATCACATTTGAACTCTGCAGAGGTCGGAAGTGTAAACCAATCTTTGTACAGATTGCTCGGCAAGTTGTAAAGTTGAATGCTTCAGATCTCCGACTTCCCTCAAGAGCCTGGAAGGTCAAACTAGTTGGAGAAGGTGCTGACGATGCAGGAGGGGTCTTTGATGACACCATCACAGAGATGTGTCAGGTATGTAAACATCTGGACTTGTTAGAACAAATTTTATTCCAGCTGTTTACTGGATGTCTGATAGAGCTACTACTTCTTCACTGTCATGCATATCTATCCATAGGAGTTGGAGACAGGAGTTGTGGACCTGCTCATCCCATCTCCCAATGCCACAGCAGAGGTTGGCTACAACAGAGACAGGTGAGAAGACCTTAATGAAACATGTAGGTCAGTTAATGTGTTGGAAGTTGTAGGACTTTAAGAGAGTAACTAATCCTTTGTTTGAAATAAAAGAAAGACATTTCTTTGATGGCATGCGCTAAACTGGATATGATACAGGGAAGATTAGCATGGTCTCTGCGCAAGGATGACACGTAAATTCGTGAAGCGTTCCACATTTTTCAGCGGAGGCTTCAAAGCGTGTCTGCCGTCGATTATTTTGGGGAACGTTCGGTTGCTAGCAAACGAGATGGACGAGCTAACAGCGCTGACACGGAGTCAGAGGGAATATCGTGAGTGTAGCTTGATGTGTTTCACCGAATCACGGATGCACCGGGGTATTCCAGTGGACAGTGTGGCTTCCACAGGGACAGCGCCACGAGCGGTAAGCAGAAAGGAAGAGGGCTTGCTGTTCTTGTTAAGAAACAAACATAACAATCAAAGACTCGGGCCGTATTATTTGATCAGGGAATTTACCCTTGTAATGTTGGTGGCTGTTTACGACACTGCAGTGAATGCTCAGCCACCTACAGCCGTATCCAGAGCTGCACCACTCCCTCAGGATTGTTTACGAGTCCGTTGTGGCCAGTGCCATCCTCTATGCTGTTGCATTCTGGGACAGCATGCCAACAGACTCAATCAACTGCTCGGCAAGGCCAGTAATGTTGTGGGGATGGAGCTGGACTCTCTTAGGGTGTTTCTGACAGGTGGCTGTTGTCCAAGATAAGGACAGTGATGGACAGCACCTCCCACACACTGCATGACTTGCTAGCCAGTCACAGGAGCATGGACTGAGACACAGGAAATCATTCCTGCCTGTGGAACTCCTCCATCTAATACGCCGTACACACTGCAACAATTACACCCTTTGCACACGCTCTACAGTAAAATAACGAATGACAAAGTTTCACAGGTTAGAGTCAAATGTCAATCATATACATTTCACCTCTATAATATTCTTCATATGTATAATTGAGCGATTTGTATGCGTGTATATTGTGCTATTTCTTAAATGTGTAAACTTTGTAATAGTCTAGTCTGTTACTGTTATTGCCTTGGAGCAACTGAAACCCACATAGTTTCCTTCTGGATTATTAAAGTATTCTGATTCTGATTTTGATAGATTCCTCCTCAACCCGTCAGCATGCCTGGATGAGCACATGCTCCAGTTTAAATTCTTAGGTATTCTTATGGGGGTAGCCATCCGCACCAAGAAGCCCCTGGATCTGCACTTGGCTCCTTTGGTTTGGAAGCAGTTGTGCTGCATCCCCTTGTTGCTGGAGGACCTGGAGGAAGTGGACCTGCTCTATGTGCAGACACTCAAAAGCATTCTTCACATTGAAGACAGCGGCATCACGGAGGATAATTTCCATGAGGTTAGAAAAGCATTTTGATTGTATGTTCGTGTGAGGATTATACTTAGACATTTAAATATTGAAACCACACTAAAGCAAGCCAGCAGCCACAAACACATCCATTCATTCAGCAGTGTTAACTGGGGTTGTTTAATAGCACATTAAATTCAATGTTTGGTTCATTTTTAGTGCAACAGAGAAAAAGCAGATGTCTACATTTAAGAACAGTTGAAATATGCCTGTGTAATGTTACTTTGCTTGAGACAGGCTTACCTGGGTCCAACCTGGAATTAGGCCGGGGGAGCGGCTACATTGGCAAAGCGGGCTGGGTATTGTCTAACGTTGGGCAATATCTAAAATCTTTCCAACCGACATTCGACATGGGCAGAGCAATATATAGTTATGCACAGACTGATTTGCGCTTCTAGGCTTTATAGGGTGAAAGGTAAAGACCCTACAGTAATACAGAGAAAGCCCAACAATCGAAAGACCCCCTATGAGCAAGCACTTGGCGAAAGTGGGAAGGAAAAATGCCCTTTTAACAGGAAGAAACCTCCAGCAGGCTCAGGGAGGAGGAGCCAGATGGGGGTGAGGAGAGGAATACTGAAGAAAAGACGCTGCAGATGAGAGCTCATTTCTGCCACATGAGCTTTCATGCGTTGGATGAAATGAATAAATGAACAGAACAATGAACGGTTGTTAGATTTAGTGGAAAGCTTTTATAGAAAACCTTATGGTGGCCTTTATTTACCATGACTGCAGACGTTATTGACTTGTATTCTATGCTTTGTTTGTCTTTCTAATGCGTTCTCTTTGATAATATAATTGTCATATTCTAGTACAAAGCCTCATTTTGATCCGCTTCTTTTAGGCCATGGACATAACTGCTTTTTAACTACGTGTTCAAATAGAAAAACAGCAGTTTGTCTTATCAAACTCAGATCTGGGGACAAAGATTAATTGTCACTGATCCACAGGGCCCAAGGTTTATTATTTAGGACTTAGAGATGTGGAGATTTTAGGTATATTTTTAAATCATTAATGTAATTCCATCACAGGTCCTTTCTTTATGAAGTGAAGTTCTCTAACCTCAGTGAGCTCTTTGCCAGTACTCACAGTTTTTGTGTTTGTTTTGCAGATGATTCCTCTGGATTCCTTTGTCGGGCAGAGTGCAGATGGTAAAATGGTCCCCATTATCCCAGGAGGGAACAGCATCCCTCTCACTTTCTCCAACAGGAAGGAATATGTGGAAAGAGCTATTGAGTACAGACTGCATGAAATCGACCGTCAGGTACAGAAAAGGCCTTTACACACCAGACATGTCAAATCCATGCGAATATTTTGTGTATTAAAAATATTTTTCGGACTCACCTCTTCAGTACAACAGCACAAACTCCATTTTTCCAGTTTTCTGGATCTGAATAAACAGATCTGACCAATCAGATCACTGCCTTGGGCAACAAATGCGATTGTAAGTCAAACCATGCAATGATATGGAAATAGTAACATTTTACTATCTTACCTCAGATTGGATGGAGTCAGATTCTCAGTGTTTTATGTTTCCTGTTTAGAGACATCAGGACGAGCTCGTCGATGTTGACTCTTTTCACAGTGTGTTTTTTTTTCTTTTTTTAAAAAAATAAATAAATATGTGTTTATTAAAAACATGGATTAACTTCAAAGTCATAAAAAAGAAGCGCGTGTGGAAGTGTTTTAAAGCTGTGTTGGGTCAAAGACCCACTTATTGGCCATAGCTGTGGTTGTAAGTAGAGACTTCGGAGAGACGTCTGAGAAGCATTTTGACTTGACTTTCCTTTGGAGTTTATTTGGGTCATATGAAATTGAACTGAACTTGTACGTCTTGGTCATACTGTTTCAAAACGTCGTTGGCTAAGGACTTCTCAGTCACCAGTTGTTAGCCACTGAGCATTCACAGGGGAATGAACAGATGATCCAGATACAGGAACACAGTGTTTGTCTGCTGTTTCAACATGGAAACCCTAATAACAGCAAGCTGTGTGCAGGACTGGAAACAAACAAGAACGTCTCTTTAGCTGATCTGACCGTTAGATAAAACGTGACTTTGGCCTTAACACGGACATAAGTCTTCTCCTGTGGGCTCATCTCTCCCAGGTGGCAGCAGTGCGTGAGGGCATGTCGTGGATCGTGCCGGTGCCGCTACTGTCCCTGCTCACTGCCAAGCAGCTGGAGCAGATGGTTTGTGGCATGCCGGAGATCTGCTGCGATGTGCTCAAGAAGGTGGTGCGCTACAGAGAGGTGGATGAACAGCACTCCTTGGTGCAGTGGTTTTGGCAGACCCTGGAGGAGTTCTCCAACGAGGAGCGTGTCCTCTTCATGCGCTTTGTCTCAGGTCGCTCGAGGCTCCCTGCTAACACAGCTGATATCTCCCAGAGGTTTCAGATCATGAAGGTGGACAGGGTAAGTAGAGCGGTGCATTGTCATCATGAAAAAATGCCCAGTTATTTTCCTTAAATCCCTGGGGAATCGAAGTGATATTTAGGATGGTTTATTGGCAATGAGCTGAGCAGGGAAAATAACTTTTCTCTGGATGAGGCAGTTCAGAGACAGAGGACCTCAGTCTACGTTAATCTGGGGGCATTTTGGTTCTTTTGTTCTCCCATCTTCAATGGACCGCTGCGTAACTCAGGACACTATTAACTATCGTTATGAGTGTAGGATAACATATTTTTGCATTTCCTGGCAGTGTGAATGCTGGAAATTTAAAGTGTTTAAAAATATTTGAAATAGTCAAAGCTGAACTTCCTGAATGAGCTTAATTGAATTAGATTACCAAATTATCAGCCAACTTTAGTGTAAAAAGTAGAAGCACAAAATTGAAAAATGGCCATCAAGAGATTTAAAAGCAAATAAGAGAATTTTAAAAACAATCCTGAAACGTACAGGTCGCCAGTGGAGTGAAATTAAAATTGGGGTAATGTGCTCAAACTTTTTTGTTCCAGTTAAAAGACGTGCTGCAGCACTAACCCCACAATAAAGTGCGTTACAATAATCCAGCCTTGAAGTAACAAAGGCGTGGATTACTGTCTCAAAATGCTGTTTCGATAAGAACGGCTTTATTTTGGCTAAATCCCTCAAATGAACAAAGCTAGATCTTACAGCAGCTCTGACCTGGCTTTCAAGTTTAAGATTTGCCTCTATTTTAACTCCCAGATTAGTGATGACTGGTTTAACATACTGTGCCAGCGAACCAAGATCTATAATAGTGGCCTGAGAAGCGCCACCAAAAACCATCACTGAGGTTTAAGTAATTTGGAATTTGTTGTGTGTCCTCCACAGCCCTACGACAGCTTGCCCACCTCTCAGACATGTTTCTTCCAGCTGCGCTTGCCTCCGTACTCAAGCCAGGCTGTCATGGCTGAGAGGCTGCGCTACGCCATCAATAACTGCCGCTCCATCGACATGGACAACTACATGCTCTCCCGAAACGTGGACAATGCCGAGGGCTCTGACACTGACTACTGATCCAAGCAGTTCTTCACACGCACACAAATAAACTCGGCAGAAATGAGCAGGAACAGCCAGTATTATCCAAACCGCACCATCGTAGGAAACTCTTAAGCAGATGGGCCATTTTCTAATCTGTTTTATGTCGATTAAACAGCACAACTTTTCATTTCTCTTTGTGGTTTATTAGCAGTTTTTATTGACACAAATTCATACGAGAAATGCATTTAGTGTTTTATTATCTTTTTTTGTGCACATCCCATTTTCAGGGCTTCTGAATGGAGATATGTTTATTTGTTTGGAAATGTGTATAGAACCTTATCAAGCAAGCTGTGGAGAAAGAAACACATTGTACATTGTGTAAAATGCTACATTAGGGAAAATGTCATATTTATTGTTTTCATTGCCTATGCCAAGTTTCCCAAACCATATAAAAGACCTGACAATAAATGCTGCATAATTGATTTGTTCTGTTGCTGGAGTTGGCTATTTCCATGGTAAAAAGAAAAACCCGTCATCATAAATGGATTCATTTATGTGAGAAGTACAAAATATCACAAATGCCACTGTGTGACAGGAAGAAATAAACTGGAAAAAAATAACGACCCGAGCAGGTGAAACAGATTCTCGTGACGCGGCGCTTTGGGAAGTCCCTCCTTCCCATTTCCTTATTTTTTTGCACATTTGTCATATTTTCATTATTTCGATCAAACAAATGTTAATGTCGAACATAGATGTCCCTAGTAAATACAACACGCAGTTTATAGTTGAGTCCATTCATTACACGAAACATCCGTGACAAATGGTTAACTTACTCAATCTAAAATGAAATCTTCACTTTAAAAATGCAGACTTTTTACTGGAGTTATCTTTATGTAATAGTAAAATGTTTTGATGATCTGAAACAAAGTGAAAAATATGCTAGAACTCAGAAAGGTCTTGATGCATGCTCAATAATCCAGGTAAGGAAATCCCAAAAGGTTGATTGTGTTCATGTGGACGCAGCGTTTTCAGTGGGAGAAACGTTTCATCACTCATCCAGGTGACTGCTTTGGTCTCCGCTGACTGCAGGTTTCCCCGAAATTGAATTGAAACCAGACCTAGTTTTATTCTTGAGATCATCTTCTGCTGGTCTAACAGCACAGGTATACACGGAGCTAGTCTCTAGTTCAACAACCAAATCTGTGAGATTAATATCCTTTTTATCCATGTTTAAACTGAAATATCATCATGCAACATTATGCCTTTGGATCACTTTTCTAAGGGTAAGTGGTAAATGGCCTGCATTTGTATAGCGCTTTACTTACTCCCTAAGGACCCCAAAGCACTTTACACTACATTCATCCACACATTCACACACTGGTGATGGCAGCTACGTTGTAGCCACAGCTGCCCTGGGGCGCACTGACAGAGGCGAGGCTGCCGGACACTGGCGCCACCGGCCCTCTGACCACCACCAGTAGGCAAACATGACCGATCTTGATGAAACTTTGCATAAAGAAAATTAAATACATAAAGCACATATAAGAATATTTTATACAAATACCACAATATATTTGTACATTTGACAGGTCAGCTGAGTACAGGATGGGATGTCAGATTAGAAAGTTAATAATATAAACATGCACATATTATCCAGTGAGGACCATGCACTCACTGAGGGCAGGCAAACTGATGATGACCGTGAGGAAGAGCAGAACCCAGAAACAGTTTTGAGGTGCTGTTAGGAGGTCAGGGGTCAGTTCAAGGTAAGATGTGTGTGTTGGTGTATTTGTGTTAGGAACAAATCTTGTCAGAAATACATGCACCTGAATTGTATTGACAAAAGCATTTAGAGCTGTAGTATTGTTCGCTCTGATTTTCTTTCCTGTGCAGGTTCCCAAAAGATAAAATTAGAAGTTTAGTGAAACGAGTAGTCCGCAACCCTCATTCTTAAATCAGACTTTGACTAGACAACTTGTTTAAATCATAGTACTGATCCCATCAGTTTTTACATTTGTTGGGATTTATTTCTCTAAGGCTCATATCTCATAATTAGAATCACATATTTGTATTTTATTTTTTACTTGACATCGCTATACAACTGCAGGCCATTTACCATAAAATGAACCCAACACATTTTACAGTCACTTTTTACAGCAGAACTTTACAAAAACAAATTTCCATATTCTCCAGAATTCTGTTGTTCATGTTAATCATGAACATCACACACAGTACCAGGTCTTTCCAGTGGTGCCAAATCCTGGACGTTATGCTGGAGCCCCAACCTGCGCATCCAGTTTAGGCGCTGGCTCTGATGGTGGCCTGTCGGTACCTATCGGCTGCCTCCAGAGTCCCACAGGCTAACCAAGCCCGGTAGGTTGGTTACCACCACAACAGGCACCAACCACCTTGTGGCTGCAGCTCCGTGCAGCAGCTTCGGCAATGGAGGTGCTGAACATGGTCCGTTCGGACTCAATGTCCCCAGTCTCCCTCGGAATGCTCTTGAAACTCTGCCGGAGGTGTGCGTTGAAGATGTCGCAGACTGGGGCCTCTGCTAGACGTTCCCAGCACACCCTCACTGTACATTTGGGTCCTGATCCAACTCACCACCAGGTGGTGATCAGTTGACAGCTCAGCCGCTCTCTTTGCCCGAGTGTCCAAAATATATGGCCTCAGGTCTGGTGATACGATTACAAAATCGATCATCGACCTGCGGCCTAGAGTGTCCTGGTGCCACGTGCACTTATGTTTGAACATGGTGTTCGTTATGGCCAAACTGTGGTTTGCACAGAAGTCCAATAACAAAACACCGCTCGGGTTCAGATCCGGGAGGCCGTTCCTCCCAATAACGCCCTTCCAGGTCTCACTGTCATTGCCCACATGAGCATTGAAGTCTCCCAGTAGGACAACAGAGTCCCTAGGAGGAGCACCCTCCAGTGCCCCACTCAGGGACTCCAAGAAGGCTGGGTACTCTGAACTGCCGCTCGGAGCATAAGCACAGATGACAGCCAGGACCCGTTTCCTGACCCAAAGGCGAAGGGAACAAACCGTCTCGTCCACTGGGAAAAACCCCAACATACCAGTAGCAAGCCGAGGGGGTACCAAGATACCCACCCCAGCCCGCTGCCTCTCACCAGGGGCAACTCCAGACTGAGACAGAGTCCAGCCCCTCTCTAGGAGACTGGTTCCAGAGCCCAGGGCAAGCGTTGAGGTGAGCCCAACTATATCTAGCTGGTACCTCTCAACCTCACGCACTAGCTCAGGCTCCTTCCCCACTAGAAAGGTGACATTCCATGTCCCAGTTGCCAGTCTTGGTAGCCGGGGATTGGTCCGCCAGGGCCTCCGCTCCTGTCTGCTGCCCGACTCACATTGCACCCAACCCCCACGGTGCCTCCTGCGGGTGGTGGGCCTGCAGGAAGATGGGCTCATGTCCCTTTTTCGGGCTGTGGCCAGCCGGGATCCATGGACTAAGGCCCGGCCACCAGATGCTCACCCTCGGGCACCCACCCCGGGCCTGGCTCCAGGGCGGGGCCCCAGTAAACCTAACCCGGGCAGGGTAAACTGTTCCCGATGGTCTTTTCATAGGGGTCTTCTGAATTGCTCTTTGTCAGGACCAATTTGCCATGGGAGACCCTACCAGGGGGCAAAAGCCCCCACACAACATAGCCCCTGGGATCCCTGGGACACACAAACCCCTCAACCACGATAAGGTAGCCATCAGCGGAGGGGCAAAAAAAATCCCAAACAAGCAAATTTAACCCGACATCTTTGATTTGATTTCTTTGCATGTGTGGATTGGATGGGTTGTTACTGAGATGAGGTGATGATTTCATGTCAATAGCGCCTTTAGAAATATATTTACTAAGAAAACTGGTGACGTATTCAATACCAGTGGTATGCACTTAGTTTTACCTGCTGTATGAAAAGATATGCTGTGTTTGGTTGTGATTGTCTCCACTACCTTACAAAGGTATCGACCTAATTAAAAGGAATGACAGTAACATCTCACATCCTCTGGAAAAAGAATGAGCAAACACGCATCCTTTTGCAAAGCTTTTATTTAGGTCTCTGCTGGACAGGTGGGATTTAGATTCTATGTAAATTTACAGGCTTGTGTCTGTTAATGTATATAAATGTATAAATTTCCTCTTCTATGTGCAAACCAATAAGCACGCCAAAGCATGAAGAATAATTAGTCTCCAGGTCAGGCCTGAAAAGACAAGGAAACATTAACCATCATGTGTTATTCACACTATTTATATCCAATGAAAAGTAAAGCTGATATATAATGTTGGATCTGGAGACTTTGCTATGTCCAACTGTTTGTATTCACTAACCAGACACTTTATTAGATAAGCTTGCTCAACTGCACATGAAATCAAATATTTAATCAGCCAGTGACATGTAGGCATGTCAAAAAACCCTCAAGTTCAAACTGATCGTAATTTAAGTGATTTTGATAGTGGCTTTTACTGCCATATAGGCTGGTCTGAGTATTTCACAAAATGCTGATCTACTGGAATTTTCCCACATGATCACCTCGGGGGTTTACAGAGAAATAGCTGCAGTTCACTCTTTTGTTGATGGTTAGGCTGGTTAGACTTCTCTGACTTTCAAAGTGATAAGAAGAGAACAGTGCCTCAGAAAAACACTGAAAATGTAATGCTTCTTACCTGACTGATTCATTCCACCTGTTGGTGCTGAAGTAACAGAGTCTAGAGGAAAACAAATGCGCCTGGTTAGCATTAAAGCTGTTAACACTAACACAGTTTCAGGCCTCAGTTTGTGCCATGATCCCAAAAAGAAATGACTAATTCTCAGGTATGAATAAAAAAATAAACAAGTTTTCCTTTACAATAAACAGGATGGAAATTAAAATGAATACATCCTACCCTAATACTTAATACTTAAAATGTTATATACAGGGTGGGCCATTTGTATGGATACACGGTAATAACATGGGAATGGTTGGTGATATTAAAGTCCTGTTTGTGTCACATTAGTATATGTGAGGGGGCAAACTTGTGACATTACCAATAGATTTGATGTGTCACATGGCCCTCTTCCTATTGAAAAAACAAAAGTTGTATCCAAGATGGCCGACTTCTAAATGGCCACCATGGTCACCACCCATCTTGAGGAGTTTGCCCGCTCACATATACTAATGTGCCACAAACAGGACTTTAATATCACCAACCATTCCCATGTTATTACGGTGTATCCATATAAATGGCCCACCCTGTAGTTTATATAGCCATTTAAAGTAAATGCATTTTAATGTAAAAATTAAATGAAAATAAAAAACAGTGCAACATTTTTTCTAATGAACATCAGGGAGTGCCTCCCTTGTGGCAACCCCCCCCCCCTCCCAAAAAACAAACAAACAAACCAAAAAAAAACTGTCACAATTATATAAATGAGAATAGTTACTGTGATGTTCACAAAGTCCTGTTTGAGATCAAGAAAAATGACGAGTGGGTCT